GCTGTCCCAGCTCTCTAAAGACCCATTAAATGGGAATCGTCCTTGTTTTCATAGCATCAACGTGAGACTTGAAGACACGCAACACATGTTTGTCTAACGAGGCTTCCGGTGTAACACAGCTTTTTGTCCCTTGATGCCTTTCTCTGGAATCTGATGAATGAAAACCTGTGTTCAATGGTTGAAAATCACACCGATCACTGGAAACATCTCCATAAACTGTTGCTGGCAGCTGTAGTTAAGTTTAACGAGTCCCTTGTGCACGATATTTTTTGAAATAGTGAAGATATATCGAAGATCTTCAGATCACCAGTGATCTGGTTTCCCATTAGCACTCTGCAGTTCCTCATGATGTGGGATGTTGGCTGAGCTTTGTTAAGTAGCCTTACTGTTAAATTATGATATTCTTCCATGGTGCTGTTGCACCTGGATGCTTAGTTGATGTGTTTAGTCTGTTGTACCTGTATGGGATCTTTTATTTAAGAAAACCAATTCAGTGCATCTCTTAAGGGTACGACATCTTGCTCCTCCTGGAAAATTACCCAGTGATTGAACCCACATCTTTAAGCAGTACATCCACTGCTGCCTGTTGGTTCTCTGTTTTGGTCACTTTGCCAGTCACCTAGTATTCAACATGTTGTCCTCGGCCAAATGTGACAGATGTGCATGGTTTCCAGAGAGTGAGGTCACAGGTCACATGACAGATAGAATGTCAGCCCCCACCACTATCAGACTGCAGTGTGGGGCTGTCTTCGGGATCTCATGGTGGCATGCAGTGTGTGGCTGTCTTCGGGATCTCATGGTGGCATGCAGTGTGTGGCTGTCTTCGGGATCTCATGNTCGGGATCTCATGGTGGCATGCAGTGTGTGGCTGTCTTCGGGATCTCATGGTGGCATGCAGTGTGTGGCTGTCTTCGGGATCTCATGGTGGCATGGATCTATCACACCATTTCTTCCTTGTGTAAGATTACCTGGATTTAGGCACAAAATCAAATGAGCTGCCATTTTATGAGCAGTCCTCGTTTTTGTAGGTGGTTCTTGGATATCTTGTATATTATTATTTGTATATTTTTGTTTTCTTTATTTACTTTCATCGTCCAACACTGACAAATTTGTAGCTAATGGTGAAACTGGGAATTTCCCACAGATGCTGAAAGCAGCTTAAGAGAAGAAGGTGTGTCTGCCTGCGATATCTGCAGGCCTTAGGGGAACAGGCCAGCTGACCAAGGGGTGAGGGGGAAGGAGCTCTCCACACCGGGAGAGGGGCACTGCGGCCCCTTGGCTCCTTGGGGGTGGGGGCCTGGCTGGGCCACCCACATAGTGAAGAAGCTGCCACCAGCTGCTGACCCCTGCACATTAACAGAACACTTCCTCAATTTGTCTTCTGTGTTCTTGCAGCGCAAACTGATTTCCTCTCATTCTCTTTGCCTTTAAGGTGCTCTGCCCCCAACCCTCCCCAACACACACACACTCAGTGAGGACCCCCCCGATTCAAACAGACGTGCCTCACAGCCTTTACCCCACAGTTTTTAATGTATCCTTTCAGAAAGGGAGTTTTCTTAGTGAAGTCCCCCCAAGGCTGTGTGGAGCGGAGGGCCAGACTCCGGGGTAATCGCTTCCAGAAGACAAGAAGCACACACACTCAGCTCCGGCTTTCTTCTGCTTTGAATGGAATATGTTGACAACTTTGAGATGTTCACCACTGAAGCGGCAGAACCAGGACATGAATGCATGAAGTCTGCATTTGTAGCTTTACTGAATTACGAAATGCGTGCAGACTGCATCTGAGAATTGCCTGCCTGGGATTCTGTGTAATGTGCCATAACATTTCTGTACTGTACATTTAAGAACTAAAAAAAAAAAGAACTATTCCTAGAATAACTGACATGATAGAAGTGTCTGCTTTGTTTCTTTCCCTAAGCACTTATATAGCAATATAGTGAGTCCTAATGTACCTACAAAATCCATCACGATCTGACACAGGGTCTCCGCGGGCTGGAACCCTGCACAGGCCCGGCAGGGGGCAAGTCACCACTGCATCACAGCGCCCAAATACTCACAACACCATGAGGATCTGTGTTCTGTTTTTCCTCCTCCTCCTTCAGCATTATACACCTACTCAGGTAAGCTCACGCTGGGGGCTCCGGGTATCACAGAGTTGGGCGGAAAACAGGATTTTAGGTGAACCAAAGAAAACAGCCCTTCAGCTCTATTGAAATAACATGACCGTCATGCAGGCCATGAGGGATTTTGCTCCATGTAAGGAATTCCTCGTCCTTTTGCTCTGATCATGCCCATCCTCTGTTGACATGCTCAGCCTGTAAAGGAAATGTTTCCCCTTTTCTTTACACTTTATTTTTTGCTATACTGTTATTTGGCAGATACATAAGTTGTAATCCTTCTAGAACTAATGCATAAGAGTAGATGCATACATAAATATGTATGCGCAGTTGTGTACAGCCTTGAAGACAGGTCTGATTTTTGTCCTGCCACCTGCTATCCAGCCCTTACAATACCTTTGTTAAAGGGGAACAAACAGTGACGCCTTCATTCATTACTCTGACAAAAGGCAGCAGAAATTCATTATCATAATGAATCTTATCTCTGCCTGTGGGTGGCAGGCTCCTTTCTTTGCGTGCTGTCCAAACCTCACAATGCTTACATGTACACATACTATTGTGTTACAAAGCACATTGGAAGCTAAGAATATTTTAAGCTTTGTAAACACCACTGTTCTCCAATGGGATGCCCTTCTTGTGTCTTTTTATATCTAAGCACAGACCTGAAGCTTTTGGTTTCCTTTTGCCACTTTTGCTCCTCTGCTTTACTATGAGTTACTGTACACAGTTTCAATGTTTCAATTATTTAAGTATTCTGCTTTTGCACAGAATATTAATCCTGTTGTTATGATTTATGGATCTTGTTTTTCCTGCTGCACTATAATATGGGTTGTGCTTATTTCGTTAAGTGCAGTACTTTGCTTGTCAAAGTGTATTCGTGCTCCTTGGTTTGTCCTCATTTGATGTGTCATATTCATGATGCTGGAACATTTTATGACCTAACAACTTTACTGTTAAGGTATGTTTTCTGAAGAACGTGAATCAGTATGTAGTTTGCCAGACAGACAATGATATGGTGACATTTTCACGATGCATATTTCACAGAACCCGCTGAGCTTGTTTGAAAGGCCTGAGCTCTCACCCTCAGTCATCCCTCCGACGCCTCAGTAAATAAGCTGTGGGGCTGTGCAGCACATGCCGCCGCCGTGTGGAGCCCCCCCCCCCCTCTGGTGGGGGCCCTCTGCATGGCGCATGGTCATCACCCTGTTGCATTTACCCAAAGGCCAAGACCTCCCTCAGTTTGTTAGGGTTAAGGGGCCCCTTCACCACATGGGCTGATTCCTCACATTCCACATTAGCTCCAATTTCCAGCTGCCTTTTTACTCCTAGAATTAAGCAAATTGCGATTTCTGTAGGAGGGTGCCCTGTAGGGATTAGTGAGACTCAGGTGTAGGAACAATTATGCTTCCTGGCTCTTTTTAAGTGACAGCCGTGTCGTTTCCATCATGAAATACTGTAATAAGTACTACATGTCAGGCATTTGCAGAATTATGTACATTAGAAATGGCTGGATTGTGAAGATACTGTCTATACATTACGGATACATGTCATGAGGCAGAGTGTGTCTGTATACATTATGGATACTTGTCAGCGAGGCAGACAGTGTATATATTATGGATACATGTCATGAGGCAGAGTGTGTCTGTATACATTACGGATACATGTCAGCGAGGCAGACAGTGTATATATTATGGATACATGTCATGAGGCAGAGTGTGTCTGTATGCATTACGGATACATGTCAGTGAGGCAGACGGTGTCTGAATATTACGGATACATGTCAGCGAGGAAGACAGTGTACACATTACGGATACATGTCAGTGAGGCAGACAGTGTATACATTACGGATACATGTCAGTGAGGAAGACAGTACCCCCACAGTCCAGCAGTAAGCCATCAGCTTTAGAAGAGACCTCAGTTCACTTACGATTTGTCATGTCAGAGTATTTTTAATGAAATCCCATTTGCTTTCCTGTTGAACCAAACACCAAAATTCGCTCCAGGAGTATTAGCTGAAGGAGCTTATGAGAGGCAGTGCTCAGTAAAGCATAAAATTTAACAGTCCGAAGCTGGAAGCGCAGATGGCATCTTCTTCGGGAAATATGATCTCCGTGGTACTTATTTATATAAAAATCATTACAGCCACTGTCTCCCTCCTGTTCGAGTTAATTTCCAGTTGTTTGTGCTCTGCTGGCTCTCACCGTGAGCTGCCCCGCTGTAGCTCCAGCCGCCCATTGTCCGCTTGACAGGCTAAATTGTGTTGGAGTAGTTTATCAGAAAGCGTGGCTGCTGAGCTGCTTCTCCTGCTCCTGACACAGTAAGCGCTGCATCACACAGTCCCAACGCAGGCCCAGGTCGGCTGGTCTCAAAGGCCAGGTTAGTCTCCCTGACAACTACACCTCGCTAATTGTAAGTGCAAATAATCCCATCAAAGGGTAACAGTGTATGAAAACCTGCCTAATCCTCTGCTAATGACAACAGTGAAAACCCCATCCGCAAAACATTTTGAGAATTTCCACATGTTTAATGGCAGGCTCTCCTGTGCGTTAAAGGACGGGACGTTGCCTCTCACGAGGAGCGTTAATAAAAACGGCGCTTTTAATGCCGTCATGGACATTTCTCCGCTCCCCCACGACCACATTCTGGACTTTGCTTTAAAGCGCGTCGCCGCGGTTTCCGCCGCGCCAGGCAGCTGTGAGGTGCGGCTGCTCGCGGAGGTTGCGCACACTGGAGCACGCGGAAAGGGCTGCCCTCCACGGCGCCCCCACCCCCGATGCTCCGAGCGCCTGCCTGGGTGGTCCCTCTCTCCCCCTCCCCGCTCCCCTTCTCTCTCTCCCACCCTTCTCTCTCTCTCTCTCTCTCTCTCTCCGTCTCCCACCCTCTCTCTCCTGGGTGGTCTCCCCCTCTCCTTCTCTCTCTCCCCCTCTCTCCCTCCCTCCACTCCTGTTGCTTAGCAGCTAATAATAGGCCATGTTTGCACAGTAATTTGCCTCTTCCTCGGCCAATGGGAGCCGCGGCGCTTTTCCATCAAACCAGCGGCTCGGGGGCTCCCCTCTCAGACGCTAGTACAGCCGGATCAGCGCCGGACTCAGAGCTGCTTCGGCCCTTTAAACTCTCCCCGTTAGAAAATCATAGTGGCGAATGAAGACACAAGGATCTGCGAGGATTTGGGCACAGGATGCGGGGATGGAGCTTCGGGACTTCGGCTCCGGGAGACACTAGCATCTCTGCTCCTCCGTGGATTATCGCTGTTTTTGCCCAGTTCGCAAACCCCTGCTCTTCTTCCTCCCCGTTTGGACCATGGCCGCGGATCTCGGAGTCCCTGGAGCTGGCGTTTTTGGAGATTTACCCCCCAGTTATAGGCGCTCCCCGCCGGCCGCAGACTCGGATTTTCTCCGGAGACCCAGTTACTGCCACGCCGCTTTCGCTTTAAAGCAGATCTCTAAGGTGAATACCTTTAGTATTTAATATTACTGTATCATCACATCAACCCATGAGAAATCTTTTACTAACATTCATTTCGGAAATAATACAATAGCACATAGTTTCAGCTACTGAGAAATGTTTTATTAACCTTAATTTCTGAAATCGTATATTATCACATGGGACTAGCCCGTGGGAAGTGTTTTATTTTCAGATAAACGCAATGTCTGAATGATTAATTTAACAGCCTGTTACGGGAATGATTAATTTAATAGCCTGTTATGGAGATGGTCTGTCTTGTGTGGCACCGAATCACTGTCAGCAGCAGCATACTGGATGTTAAAGGCGATTTTATATGCTCCTTTCCATGTTTAGAAAGTTTTTCTTTGCCGGTAGTTGAGTGTAAGCTGGAGCGACTTTTCCTGCGCGCTTTTCCATTCATTTATGTTGAATTGTGACCGGGTTTATAAGCCACATTTCTGCTCCCCTAATTGAGTTTTTACGTGACAAACGCGGAGACTCGGATGCTGCGTGAAAGCAGAGTCGCGTTGTTTTACCAGGGATGTTCATTTACAGCTTCATGCAGGACCAACGCCAAATGATAGCTGCAGTTTGCATACTTTCTAGTTTTTTTGCCTTTAAAATTAAATATGAAATAACCTGCAAGCTGCTGAATAGCTTTACTCTATAATTTGTTTAGTGTTTACAAATGATGGTAAAAGCCTGGGGGGGAAAAAAAAGTGATCAAACACTTAATAAGCACTTATTTACTGTTGGTCGATTTCTGTATTGTGAGGGGAGGGTTATACATCAAATATACATCCACAGATTTCAACAAAAGGTTTCTGAAAAACATTTGACCCAAATTACAGCCAGTCAAAGGCTGTGGTGATTCTGAAGAGTCCTTCTGCCATGACCATCTGTACCGTTTCATTTAATGACCTTTGAAAAAATGTGGTGCAGGTTTTCATCACGATGACTTTGGTCATACTTTATAGCCTGTTCCAGTCACCTGATCAGGGTTTACTTGTTTCACTGTTTTATTTTTTTCTCTAAACAGGTATATTTCTTGGTTCACAAGAAGACAGAATTAGCAAAAAGTGAATATATTGACAATAGTCTCAATACTTATGGTCACAGAATAGCATATATTTGTAAAAAGCTTAATAAGTGTTTAAAGACGCATGAGCTTGCTGAAGACCATTTTCCGAAGGTCCCATCTCAGGAACTTTAATGCCTGTTGTCATGACAAAATAGCATTAGAGTATGAGACCTACAAAGTACAGAATTTTATTCCTAATGCCTAAATCAACCAATATGTTCAACTGTAATATTATGTTACTTGTCTTTACTAAAACATATTTGAAAGAAATGGTTGTGTGTTTACTGTTCAGGGTAATTTTTACAAATGTTGAGCTTGTTTGTTAAAGGGAAGACCATCATAAATAGTGTTTTATGTTCTTATGTTCTTAATAGGGACCTGACAATGATCACTGTGCATTCTTTTCCCAAAGAAATGTTCCCAAAGATATCCAATGTGGAGAGTAATGTCCAAGCCAGTTAGAGTGTAGTATCCATCTTAATTTTGGGATAATGCCATTTGAATGAAAATACCATCCACTGCTCTTTAGAAACTGGTGAACATTCAAAAGCTGCTCCAGTTGCGGATGCCTTTGCTGGCCTACGCTGTGGAACTGCTCCATTAAGAATATGCCTCACACAGGTTCTGTCAGACAGGTATCTGACAGGGGCTATCCGACAGGGGCTATCATCCTATATGTGCCATCTCACAGTGGCTATTGGACAAGAGCTGTCGGACTGGAGCTAGTGGATAAGAGCTATGAGACAGGGGCTATGAGACAAGGGCTACGAGACAGGGGCTATCAATCAGGAGCTATCAGAAAGGAGCTGTCAATCAGGAGCTATTCGACAGGAGCAATCCAGCAGGGGCTATCCGACAGGAGGTATCAGACAGGAGCTGTTAATCAGGAGCTATCAGACAGGAGCTGTTAATCAGGAGCTATCAGACTGGAGCTCTCTGACAGCTTCTCCTAGTGGCCATGTCTATCTGTGGAAAGTATCACTTATGGCAGCTGGATTTTTAAATTAAATGAAAAGTCAAAAGCTTCCAACGTGCCCTAACCACCTCCGCAATGAGCAGAGAGTAGCGCATGACCGTGTGACATTAGAGTGTGATGGTGTCTGTGTGTCTGCTCCTATCACCACAGGGGAAGGCGGTGGGCCAGAGGGCACCGCTCTGGATCCGGGCCCGCTTCCAGGCTCTGCTTTTTTCTCTGGGCTGTCACATCCAGCGGCACTGTGGGAAGGTGCTCTTCGTTGGACTGCTGGTTCTCAGCGCTCTGTCCGTGGGTTTGCGGGTTGCGGCCATTGAGACGGACATCGAGCGGCTCTGGGTGGAGGGTGAGTCTGACTGTCTGCCTGTTTCTGTTTTTTTTTTTTTTGGGGGGGGGGAGGTCCCATGAGCTGCTGTCTGTCTGAAAGGCTATAATCCTGTCAGTCATAGTAGTGCTGAGGTCTACTTGTGCCGTCCTGTCCACTGCCTGTGTCGCCCTTGACACTGTCTGTATGGCCATCAGCGCAGCCAGTGCCATCCTAGATGTTGCCTGTATGGCTATCAGTGCTGCCTGTGCCTTCCTCAGCACTGCCTGTATGGCCATCAGCGTAGCCTATGCCAGTCTAGCTGCTGCCTGTGCTGTCCTAGATGCTGCCTCTGTGGCCATCAGCGCTACCTGTACCATCTTAGCCACTGCCTGTATGGCCATTGGCGCTGTCTGCATGGCCATCACTGCTTCCTGTGCTGCCCCGCATCTTTGCCGCGTTCCTGCCCTGCACACACATGCCCTTGCTTGTTCCCTCTACCGCTCTGTGTTGTTTGTCATGCTTTTTGTTTGACGTCCCTGCTACATGCCTCCCTTATCTGTGCACGTCCTGGAGCTGGCTTTTATTTGGTTTTCACACTGCCGAATTCCTCGTAAGCCCCCCAGGCTCTCGCCGTACTCCTGATCCTAAGAGCAGATGGGCTGTGTGAATTGTTAGCCATCTTGAGGCTTTGACCCTCCCCTGCGCTCCCTGTGTGGTCCCTGGCTGTTCTCACATTCCATTCAGCTATAAAGGCCCCTCTTCCTCGCTGGCAGAAGGCTGTGAAGCTGCTGTAATGTACCCACCTGTTTCACACACTGCCAGAGTCAGAGCCGCCATAACATAAACAGGGGCCTTTTGTGTTGCCACACTGAGCTTATCTTCTGATCATGCCCAATTATCTCCTTTATTTACTGTGTTTTGGTAATGTGTTTGGCATGGTACTGCCCTCAGAGTCGTCATATGTAACCCCTTCTTACCGCCCCCGGCATGGCACTGCCCTCAGACTCCTCACATGCGACCCCTTCCTATTGCCCTGGCTGAGGGGCTTCATGCTCCTTTTTAATCTGTCCATCAAGGTGGACCTTACAGTTTCAGCAGGAGAGATTCAGTGATACTTTAGCTAAAAGTCAGGCATTTTCAATGGTGCTGTGCCTTTACATAGCCCAACGCACCCCTCTGCACATTGACAGCAACACTGGCATCTGGATGTAGTGAGCGGTGCCGTTTGCCAGTGGAGTGCACATTTACACGATTCACAAGGGTCTAATGTGCTTAGAACATCTCATTTCTTTCAGGTTCTGTTCTTTCTGGCAGGATTGACATGTGCTGTGCTTGTGCTGCTCTACGCATGCGCTGTGCTGTGCATTTGTGGTTCTGTGCTGTGCTATGCTGTGCATTTGCGGTTCTGTGCTGTGCTATGCTGCACTGCACTGTACTCTTCCTTTAGGGGTGCAAAGAGGAATCTGAGTGATGTGGTCTCTCCCAGTTGGCTCTCGTCCTCATGGTGGGGGGGAGCGCGAGGTTACAGTTAGGGGTTGGGGTTGGGTCCTCAGGTTTATTGGAGCTGTGAGACGGAAGGGTCCCAATCAGCCTTCTTGGCTTTATTGCTTCCTCTGAGCATCTGAGACAGTGTGAAAGCATAGCAGTGGCCTGCTTTGTTGGCCATACTGTGGCAACCGTGCTGCAGACTCTCCACACCTCTGTCCACCGATTGGTCCCTGCTTCTTGGGGGGGGGGGGGGGGTTAAAGGTCCCCCCCCCCCAGCTTACGGTGCTTTTCCACTGGCACACAGGAACCGAGCTGTACTGAGAAGAGAGACTAGTTACAGCCCGGTTCCAGCTTGCTTCAGTTTTCTACTGCAGAAGGGATGGCTTGGTGAAGGCGTAGCCGGGTTTGGAGAGCAACAGTGACATGAAACCGAAGAGACGCTTATTTACTGTTCAAATGACGGGCTCAGCTGCGGATGTTGTCATGTGACATGCTGCTGATTTGCTTGGGGGTTGCACTTCCCTAACCATTAGGCCACCACTGCCCACAAGATCACGTTGATCCCTAAGATATTCCGTACATCTCTCAGAGGAATTGGCAGAGAACTTCCAATTCAGTATTACAATGATATTTGTTTACCTATTCGATATGTATTGCAATTTTTTCTTGCTGAGGAGAAGCTGATCTTGCTTAAAAATGTCAGCTGCTTTTAAAATCATTCCTCTTGAATATATTAGGTCTACATTAAAAATAAAGACTGTGTATTTTACATTAAGGAGCCTTACTGAGCTCTACTCAACAAATAAACCTTCAAGCAGAAATATCAGCATCAGTGCAAACGGCACTACCTACAGCAGAAGCGGCTTTTAGTGATGAAAGGATCACAACAAATGTAAAAATGAAATCCAAAGTGACAGCTTGAAATTGTGAACTGAAAAACGTCTTATATATATAAAAAAAAGGACATACGTAGAATTCTCAGAACAGAATATCTTGCAAACAGCTCCATCTGCCAGTAGTGCTGGGGGGGGGGGGTCTCCCTAGACAGCTAGCTGTGGGTTTGTAATCATCCTGTAAAGCAAATTAGCAGTAGTGAATGTGACCAGCATCATTACATTCATCTATGTTTAAAGTGATATTTAAAAACTGATTTTTAACTTTTGTGGGAATCAAAAGATTGTCACATCTAAGAACTGTGATCTATAAGTGAATAGATTGGATCCCTGTCCAAAAAGGAGATTAAAGGAATCATCCCCATGCCGATCAGAATCATGTCGACATCGATCAAAATCATCCCCACGCCGATCGGAATCATCCCCACGCCGATCGGAATCATCCCCATGCCGATCGGAATCATCCCGACATTGATCGTAATCATACACACACAGCATGGCCCCGGTCCTCACCTCCATCACACACACAGGGTGCGGCCGCAGCCCTCAGCATGAACGGATACCTCCGAGGCAGCTTGAACAAGCCCTGCCTTTGCAGTGAGACCCAGTAGATTCTCCTGCCTGTGGAGCAGTTATCTAAACAAAAACGTGAGGTTAATGCAATAATTCATTAAAAAATACACAGTTGGCTCGGCTGGGCCAGGCTGCAGGAGAAAGGGAGCTCTGTGAACGCTTGCGGGGGGCAGACTGGGCTTGGGGCCTCCACTACATAAATAAACTCTCTGCTGTGACTTCGGCAGCCCGGAGCTTGTCTTAGTGCGTCCCACCGCCAGCCTGAAAGCAGTATGGGAGCTGTATGCATTCTCCCATTTTGAGTGCACTTATTCGAGGTTTGAATTCATTCATATTTTCCTGTGAATTAACCCCTGCGATGCCGGAGGAGCGCTCCGATGGCAGCATTCAAAGCAAACAGAGGCGCATCCTCCTCATTCTCATGCACCGTCAGTAAGTGGCCAGATGTTTGAGGAGAACCTGAGATCAGTGCCTGTCTTCTGCTTGCTGAGACCCAGGGTGTGTATCTCATCTTCCAGAAGGCTCTTGATTCCCCTCTTTTTGACAGTTTTTTATTTGCTGTAAGGATGGATTGTCCTTCTGTGGTATACATCGAATAAAGTAACACCAGTCACCTTTTGCTAAGATTTTTCCCCCTTTTTTTTATCTCCACACCATTTGCCCCTCCGTAATAAAGAAGGAAGAAAAACATTTTCTTGGTACTCTGGGGGAGAAAACAGTCCTTGGGCTCAATAAATTCATTTCTGGTCTGAATGAAACCAGCAATGTGGAAAAATTTTGCCTTTCAGGACAGGATGAATGTATGTTTCAACCACACATTAAGCTGCATTAGCAGGCAGTCGAGTGCCTAATGTGACCATTTTTCACAGCGGCCAACAGTGGGGATGATTAGCATAATTAGCACAGGCACTCCATACATATGGAAATGGGCTGCGCTTAAATGCCAACACCAGTGCAAATTTATGTCAGTGCTGACAGAGGTTCCAGGTCTGAATAGATCCTCACTGAATCTTATTTTCATTTTGTTTTGTACCTTGCAAACATCTCAGTACTTCATCTGTAATTTAATGAAACCTTCTCAGGTTTGGGTGTAGGGAATCCCTCCCAGCGCGTGCACACGCACATGCACACACAGTAACTGATCCTTTTCTTTCTTTTTACCCTCCGTCTGCCCTGGTTCGTCCCGCCGAATACTCCTGCTCGCACACATTCCAGACCCGCACCGCATACCTCAGTACTTTCTTTCCTCTATCTTTTATGAAGTTTCATTCATGAGGATTGACTGGGGTTTTTGTTGTGAATGTTTCTCTATTTTTTTCTTGTTTGTTGGGAAACATGGTAGAGACATTCAGGGCAGAATAACAAAGGGTCGCATTCAGCCTCTGGAGTCGCGCTCCTCTCTCCGGCCGAGGTGCCGCTCCCATCTGCTGTTGGATTTTCTTAGACAGGGAGGAGCTGCTGTTACTTGGGGGAGCAAATCAGAGGAGAGCTAAAGTTTTATTTCTAAATGACAGGCCAAATGTTTCCCTCTTGTTTTCTTAATGTGTTGCGAACGAGGCCCCAGATCCTTAATGAATGACAAAGAGCACAGGGCCTCGGAGGGGGGCATTCTGTGTGACTCGCGTGGCCCGGCAGGCCTACTCTGCACCCCTGAGCGCTCTTTGGCTCGGAGGGGGGCATTCTGTGTGACTCGTGTGGCCCGACGTTCCTACTCTGCACCCCAGACCACTTTTTGGCTTGGAGGAGGGCATTCTGTGTGACTCGCGTGGCCTGGCAGGCCTACTCTGCACCCCAGAGTGCTCTTTGGCTCAGAGGGGGGCATTCTGTGTGACTTGCGTGGCCCGGCAGGCCTACTCTGTACCCCAGAGCACTCTTTGGCTCGGAGGGGGGCATTCTGTGTGACTCGCGTGGCCCGGCTGGCCTATTCTGTACCCCAGAGCGCTCTTTGGCTCGGAGGGGGGCATTCTGTGTGACTCGCGTGGCCCGGCAGGCCTACTCTGCACCCCAGAGCGCTCTTTGGCTCAGAGGGGGGCATTCTGTGTGACTCGCATTACCTGACTGGGCCAGTCTGCATCCCATTGCACTCAAGGGATATCTGTGGACAGAGGTCTTTTTTCTGTATTCAGACAGAACTAAACAATATTGTTGGTAATTTTTTATGGGGGAAGACAGCATGTTCGTTTATCTTCAAGATAAAGATATAATATGAATGGTTTTTGGGGATCTGCATTTCAGGTGCCTGTCTCTTTAAATGCAGAGGGGGCGTGGCATCCCAGCACCC